AGGGAATTTATTTTCCCCCACTCCTATTTCAACGAAATAAGAGTTAATTTCTTGTTATTTCTTCGGTACTTCGAAGTTTCTGTGGGAATAAGTGTAGCTTGGGGAAACTTCTTACCTTTTAAGCACTAACGTCATAACTTTAGATGAATGAACTGAGAGTATGAGACGTCTCCAGAATCACTGATATTATAGTGGAATTTAAACAACTTTCAAACTCGGGTAAGCACTAGAAATATTTTGATGAATCCCATGGTACAATGGACCTCTGTTGTCGACTTAAGAGAAGGCCTTTAACTCAACAGCGTTGACCTTAGTTCTGTCAGTAGCAATTCTCTGTGGCGTATTTTCATGTTCGAAGCATGTGGTAGATTTCCTTGAAGAATGGAATTCGGAAGATTGCATGCCACTGAAGCCCTATATTTCACTCAAAACTCAAAGGAATAATAATATTATAATTCTTATCCTTTCTTCGAACCAAAACATTCTTCATCTACTCGATATTTTTCGTGAGAAACACAATTTCCTAAGTGCCTAATGCACGAATTACTTGTGTTTGTTCCCATGTCGTGTTCTCATTCACTCTACTTGTAATAATAATAACTGCCTCCTTTCTTTTTGAAATCTCCTAGGAAATACTCATCCTCTTTCCCAATAAGCGTCAACCACAAGGTTGGCGAATCTACTGTGGAGAGGCGTGACCAACCTAAACGACATATGGATCCGTCGGTTAAAGGTTTAAATTCTGCATAAATTCGAATAGACTTGACTTCCAAGTAACTAAATATTCAAATAACTTTCAATTCCTAATATTTTTTTAGTATCTTGTTTGATCATTTTGGCTGAATTTCATGTTAAACTCCAACCACTTTTATGTATCTATTCAATTTGAAGGGTGAATATCCTACGACTGACTATTTTGCTCCACTTTATCCTCTGTCTCTGCATTTTTTGCTTTTGAATACATTGTGGCTTGTACAAATAACTGCTTACAGCACTTATCTAAGATGTTTTAGTGAGATAGACGAATGAACGATTTTCTTCTTCTATTTCCGCTTATTATTCTGGAGAGAGACAGAAAGAGAGAGAGAACCTCTGACAAAACAGAACTTTCCAATTAAGTCCTACAAAGTTAGACGACAAGCTAGTTGAAATAGATTATACTGCTAATGGCCATAAACGTCTGTAACGGAATAACTGTTTGAAAAATCTCTTCTGAATGATCTAGTCACAACACTGATGCTTATTTGGACATTTCAACTAAGTTTACAATTAGTGTTCTCTCTCTCTCAATGATTATCAACACTGAACATTTGTTTATCGACATTGATCATTATTAGTAGACAACTTGAATGCGCTATCGATTTCAGCGTGAACAAGTAAGAAGAAGACGTAAGAATACGAATGACAGTAGAATAAATTCCTCTGTAAAACCATTTATCATCAGACGCAGCACAGAATATTGATTTTTCACAATGGATGGATAAAATTTCCGGGCATCCATTATCTTTTGGAATAAAAGTCATCTTATCTGCTTGGTCATTTACCAAATCTAAGCGTTTCGCAAATAACAAGATCTTAGGAGTAAGTTCCTTGACATCATCTTTTCCCCTATGCTGAACATTATACAAACATTATACAAATTCGAAGATAAGTTAGGACTTGAGAAGGTTAATGCTCAAATCAAATCTGAAATCAAAAATCTTTATGCTATCTATAACAAAACACTTTTATCATGCAAATCTCTTACCAACATGTGGAAACTTTTCAATAAAATTACTGGCGATAGTAAGCGATGCAATATTTTTCCCTCTTATGATGTTAATGCTCTTAATCAGTCTTTTATACGCTTTCCTTCTACTATAACTACTTCTAACGTTACTAACCATGTAGCTGATAACTTTCATGACACTCTTGATGTTTCAAAATATCTTAAAACGCTTAAGCCCTCATGTAGCCCTGACCCTGATGGTATACCTGTATATGTTCTAAAACAATTTGCAGATGCTTTATGTTCTCCACTAACTAACATCCTAAATGCTTCTTTCTCCAAATACGTTGTACCTGTTCCATGGAAAGACATTAAAATAGTCCCTGTCCCTAAACCTAACAATAGCAAGAACGTAAAATTCAGACCCATTGGCAACACTTCCCCGTTTCTAAAGCTTATGGGAAAACTAGTACTTCTTAAAGTCAAACCCTCCCTTAAAAGCTTCGAAGACCCCAAACAATTTGCCTACAGACAGGGTAGGAGCACTTTAGACGCTGCATCCGTCTTATACAACAGTATCGTCTCATCATTAGATATAGGTGACAAATACGTTCGCAGGACATTTCTGGAATTCACTTCTGCTTTTAACTCTGAACCTAGATGTTTCTTGCAAAAATAAGCTCTCAATGACATAAATTGAGTCCTGGGTCACAAACTGGTTGCTTTCCTACTTCTCAAACAGAATGCAGTATACTGTATATAAAGGTAAATCCTCCCCTGCTGTGCTTACTGAAGCTGGTGTCCCCCAAGGTGCTGTACTCTCCCCACTTCTCTTTTCTTTCTTTCTACATGACTAACCATCTTCAAATGACATTAACTTTGTCAAATATGCTGATGACCTAACTGTATCTTTGCCTGTCAAATGTCAAAGTGACTGCTACAAACTAAATGGCTTTTTATCATAAATCAGCCAGTGCTCCAAAGAAAACGGTTTAACCTTAAATCTATCTAAATGCAAAAGCGTCGGTGGCACAGTGGTTAGGACTCTCGCCGACCATGCACATGGTCCGGGGTTCGAGCCCACGCCGGCGCACACCTGATATCTATTGTCGGCCTGCAAAATTTGGGCTACCGATATCCATGCTGAAAATTCCATACTTGTACCAAAAATACAGTGTGGAATCAAGCTGTAAATCAAAAAAAAACAGTCAATTTCACCTTTAAGCATAAATCTGACCTAAACAAAATGGTTAGCACTCATGAGGTGTGTAACATAGATGGCACTGAAATAGAAACCAAGCCGGAAATTAAATATCTTGGCGTCATTCTATCCGTTGATCTTTCCTGGTCGTCTCATATCTTGATGATTTCTAAGAAAATTTTCCTTTCCCTCTTCTACATTCTGGAATAACCCAACCCTCACTCCTACGATTCGTTAACTGTTGCATGCTGCCTATTATTCTCTTTTGTTCCTCCTTACTTTTTCTAGGGCTACTGAAGAAAGACTATACCTTATTACGCAGGATGTTTAAGGTTGTCAGCAAGGTAGGCAACGTGGCACTTAACCAGCGTGTTAATATTCTGGTCAACCGGCACTTGTATCTGTTATGTTGCTGCTGCTGAGTGGTTAATATTAGTTTTCCCCGTCGCCAAATTGTTATGTATTCGTCGCTAAATTATTGCTATGTACTGGTCGAGAATTTAATAGTTCTGACGCAAGAAGGCGGAAATCAGAAGACCACTAGGTTTGCAATGATACTTCTATTTTCCAAACACAAAGAGAAGCAATAAGTAGTATCACACCAAAGGTGAGTAACTCACACAAATTGTGAGAGAAGAAATATATATATGAATGTTCCAGACAAAGTGTGTGAACAAATCATTAGACAGTCTTAACATGAATGGCTAATTATAATGAAGTATCGATCCATATATACATAACAAAAGATAGCAGACATGTCAACAACCACCATATATGGATATATGTCACTAAGCAACGGACTGTCAACAAACACTCATATTATATTATATATAATATAAGGGGAATATACATTGTTAAAGGAGACAAGTTCATACAAGTGAAATGGTCACAGACTAAGCGAGCAAACAGAAAGAGAGACCAACATACACACACATAAATATATATATATATATATATATATATATGTGGATACATATCAGTATCTAATCAGGCAAAACCGGAAGCCTATATAGAAAACTACATGCTCGCACTAATAAATACAAAAACTCAACCATACCCTACTTAGCTCGTGTTCTGTGCGATAAAGAAAGCATTAGGTGTGATACCTATAACTTATTAAATAGTCAGTAGAACAAGTGGATCTCGTTTTTCCAACTCATATCATTTATAGGTACAAGGATTTCTCTCTTTATTTTCCTTCTCTCTCTCGTTTTTTTCTCAGTTACGTGGTCCTTTGTTTCTTTCTTCTCCTTACGCCAGTAAATATGCTAGAACCTACTTTTCGAACACCAAACAATCTGTTGAATTTTGGCTTTGCTACCGACATGCCAATATGTTGTTGTCATAATGAACTGAGATTACCCTTAATCTATGTAGAATTTTATTTATTGATAATGTACTAACTAGACGCAATACTGTAGTAAAATGCTGAGAATATACATTCTGTATCACAAGTATTGTTTTTGAATAAAGCAAAATAATTATGATTATTGTCCTAACGTTTGTATATCACCTGATGATTCGCACCTTGATATTTATCTTACTTCCTGTTTAATATTTGATGTTAACGGTTCTGTTTGTGACTGTGTGATAGCATTGATAATGTGTCGTTTTACGACTACAATATTGTTTGAGTGCATTCAAGATCATTCTGACGTTGAGCTGTCTGCATTAACTGTTACGTGTTTGATCCTTGTGGATAGAGTTTTGATCTCACACTTTTAAGAATATTCTATCTGTCTCTAAGGTACTTGTTATAATTTGTTGTGCAGTAACTGGATTTATATAGCTGACCATCGGCACCGTCAGGGTTGTTCTAACTATTTGATATGTTATCATTATTATTGTTGAACACTACCTCCGATTTTATCTCTGTCTTTTCACTATCGTCAGGACACTATGGGAGTGTGAGTCACTCAAAACTGTTATGGTTATCTGTACAGTAGAACACAACAATTAGTTTCTAGCTTTCAGATCTTAGCACTTTGGGTTTTGGTATTCACAACATTCACCTCTCGTGTGAATGTAAATCACACATACGAAATATACAAAAAAGCATTGTACTGAAGATGGGAGATTTATTATCAATATTTATGAAAATTTCAAACTCTTATTACTGTTTATCGATAAAATTGAGTTTAAACATAATTTGTAACATGTTGACAAAAGTATCATTACTGAACCTGCTGAAATTGAAACAGATATATATACGTAAAATAGTTTGATGATACTACGAATTTATAGAAACAATCAATTTTGGAATATAATTTCAATTTGATGAAAATTAAGCAATCACATTATCAATATTTAATACCTTAGCCTACCTTTGAGCAACATGTCTGATTCCTTGAGTGTTGTGTGCATCTGACACTAATTGGGTGAAAATATACAGAGATCATTTTAGGAAAAATTTGATATATGTGTATTGAGTTAGTCTAAGATTTTAAAATAAAACCCTTCTTTGTATTTGCCACCTTATAAGTGCCGCTTCAGAATACTAGACGACTGGGTAAAGGAATGTTTATTTACAATTAATTATCTCTTTATAGCCGAATTATGTGTACACCTTATCTTCATTGCATCATTTGCACAGATCTTCCGCGCTGTGCTACTTCAGCCCTTCCTTCCTTGTGCTCCTTTCACATGTATCTCTCATGCACCTCCCGAACGCTGTATCATTTGCTTTCTTTGAAATCAAATGCACCTCTCTGCTTTTTGATGTTTTACTTCGATACTACTGATATATCTTATGAGTAGCATACACCACATGGCGTTGTTAAATGTTTTAAATTGTCAATGAAATTAATGTCTCTCATAGTCATTTGAAACCTATATATGCAGAATGGCTGTTAAGCCTTTCCTGCTGTTAATTCGAGATAGTAAGAGCTTTTTCGTCAACCGTGTGTCTTTTTTTTTTTTCATATTATTTGTGTTTGGTGGTATCATATCTGGGTGGATGCCGTAGCGAATAGTGATTAGATTGGTAGGCTGACAAATCTACTACATAGGAAAGTTTGTTACCACAACGGACTTGTAAGCTAACAGGTTATATTTAAAGTTGTATCAATGAGGAAATTATTGATTTTAAGAAAAATAAAGATGACAGATAACCCTAATTCTGTGAATTAGTGAGATCACAATGAGTAAGGCAGGAACAGAGTGACAATAGGTGGTTTCCGTACACACCCTCACCATGAAAGGCTATAAAATTCACGAAGTTAGTAAAATCAGAAATATATTTCTAAGGGGACCTATTTAAGTGGTTATGGTCTGGAGCATTGGGAAATAAAACATGTTTGGCTTTCAGGATTTTTTGAGCTAAGCTCCGACGGCCAAATCAGAATAATTGGTTGATGCATTTAACACATAAATCTCTAATTATTTTGTTTTCAAATATCAATCAACCCTCCACACTCAGTGATTCCAAAAGAAGTTTTCTGGATTTGCACTGATAATCACCTGATATGCTTTAAGTTCCGCTAGGCTTCATGAAAGCTCCACATCTGCCTAACAAATTTCATTTCATAAATAAATCTAAGATACTCTGCTGTTGTAGCAACACCTAGATTTAATTTATGGTTTATTATTATTTTATTAGCCGTTTTTTCGTGTGGGACATAGGGCTTCAACAGCACATCCCTACTTTGTCCTGTTCTCTCCAGTTCTCTGTAGCTGGCTTCACGATTTCCCGTAGCCCGTCGCCGTCTCCATGTTACCGCTGAAGCGACGATTGACTCATATTTCCAGTTTGGGTTAAACTCAAACGATGACCTGTTGCGCGATGTCACTTGACGGTCTCCTTATTTGATGCCTGGTCCATTTCCATTTTCTTTGGGATATTTGTTGAGCGTTAAGTTCTTGATCGGTTGGTTAACAGAGTCTCTCGTTGCTAATTCATTCCAACCGGCTATATTATCTTCACTATGGGACCAGGTAAGACAGCTTTTGATAACAGTGCACAGTAGCCTGTTATTAATGCTTTCAGTGACGTGCTTAGTTAACTACTCGCATAAAAGAGCTGACTCTTCGTGCTGAGCACAGAAGGTTTCCTAACTTATTTTTATTGTGATGAATGTCTATCTTCCCTTGATGATCCTGGTATTGGCATCATCCTCCGTGGAGTCGGTTGTATGTTGTAGTTGGTTGGCTGGTTATCACCATGACATCCGTCTCCCTATGTTCACAACTCGGAATCGTGTCTGTCGTACCCCTATGCCAACTTGCTGGTTTTCACCTGTAATTCTTCACATTTTTATGACAACAGACAGATCGTCTGCGAAGTATATATCTTCTGTAGTATTGTTAGCTGTCCAATGTATCTGTGTCTTTCCACTCTCCACAGTCTTCTGCATGATCTAGTTCACCACAGTTGGGAATACTATCGTAGAGAATGGTCACACTCTTCTTACGCTTGTCTTCACTTCACGGTTTTTACTGAGTAACCTGTTAAGGATCACCTGAGATGTGGTTTTGTCACACAGCTGTTGGATGAAACTGATAACAGACTTGAGGCACTCCAAATGTAACTTATAATGTATGAAATAAACTTCGTGAATACCTTTACAGCTTATGATTAAAACTGTATTTGTTCTGCAATATACCAATATCCTTTAGTTTCTAACCCCAAAATGAATGATTTTGTAACATATATTTTAGATTGGATGTTCAATCACCACAGCTTTCAATCTATATGCGAAAAACTGGTACTAACTTTATTAAAACGTTCCTACAAGGAAAAGAAGAAAAATATGGAATTAAAAAAACTCTGATGGTTAAACACTGTGACTATATGATTTCAATGTAGTTTCTTTATTTCATTCCAAAGAAGATATTTTACAGAGTGAGGAACAACAATAAGTTCGTACACCCATGTTAAATGTCATCAACTGAATACCCTCAGTTTACTACCTTGCATACTCCTTCCTCGTACTGATGGAAATGACATTTGAAGTGTAACTCACAAAGTAAGTGGTATATCAAAAAGACTGTTGAAAGTCTGTTCCACATAACGACAATCCTTTTGTAAAGCGTTGGCTTGCAAGGATTTAATTAGTTTCACGTTTAATCATAAGTTGATGTTATTTAGAGAATCATTTGAAAACCTGGGAGTACTGGACAGCTAGCTGTTTCGTCAGTCTATTCTGGGACTCCACAGTATACGTATCCAACATGACTCGAACAAAGGACCTTGCGCTTACAAGACTAGTTAGCTCAATGGCCGAGTGATGAATTTAGACGTCTGCCAATTTGTAATATTCATAGAGCCCCGCCAGCCTTTGTCATAGGCGACTAACTGATCTTTTGCTTGATTTAGTGAACTCCGCTAGTGATTAGCTCTATACATGAAGTTATCTGGAGTTCTAGTAATATGTCGTAATCAGCGACGCCCTCTAATCCAGGTAAAGGAATAGTTACTAGCCTGTGATAGTGAGTGGAGGTTACGCTGAATACATAGGAAATTGTTAGTAGTTAGAATTCACAGGCTGGACATTGACTCGAACCCCAGTGGCTAAATAGTTTACGAGATAAACGTGTAAGTGGAAGGTGCTTTTTTCGAATCTCGGCGGGTGTGTATTGTTGAAGAGTCCCAAACTAGGACGAAACAGCTGTCCAGTACTCCCCGCTGGTTTTCCAATGATTCTCTGACTGATATCACTTCGTGATCAAAACTTTAATACATTATTTATCTGCATAATTCATCTCTGAAAATTTTCCCGTGTGAATTCATGACATAGAGGAATAAAGGAGAATCGAGTGATATTTAATTAATATAAAATAGCTATTCGTAAAACTTTACAAATACTTTGAAATTTCTAACATGGATTTCAAGCTCCAGTGTATGATAAGTGATGTTTTTATCTCTACCGAAAACCTCAAAAAGTAGTTTGTCTCTGATGAAATGGATCTTACCTCTTCTCCTGTCAGGAAATGAAAATCATCTCAGACTTTTCATATGTTTATGCATATGTTTATGACACCACTACTAGAGGAGGTGTGGAAGAAGGTCAAGGTACCCGATGATTCGAAGAAAGGACACTTATTCAAACTGCCAAAGAAAAGAGACTTAGATCAGCGCAAAAACTGATGAGGCATTATGCTCTTGTTCATCCCAAGCAAAATACTAAGCCGCATCATCCTGGAGAGAATCAAACAAGCCCTGGATGGAAAACTTAAACCGGAACAGGCTGGAACAAGTCATTTATCAATCAAATCGCATCACTACATATCATCATTGAAAAGAGCTTGAAATGGTAGTCAGCTCTCTATCTCAACTTCATCAACTTTTAAAAAGCCTTCGACAGCGTCGATCGAGAGGCCACCAATAATTATACACCTCATCCAACAGTTTTGTAGGATAATGCTGCACGCCATGTAATCCACAACGGATAACTCATGGAATCCTTTGAAGTGAAGATGGGAGTAAGACAAGCTGGCTGCCTACTACCTACAATCATCTTCCTGATTGTGACAGACTGGATAATGTGACAGATACACAGCTGGAAACCAAGAGACAGGCATAGAATGGACCCACGGAGAAAACTTGGAGGATATGGATTTCGCCAATGATATATGTCTGATTCGCCACAAACAGGAGGATATGAAAATGGAATGCAACAAGTTGGCGATAGGAGAAGCATCAGTGGTAGCGCTTAAGGGGAACCTAGAGAAAACGGAGGTGAATGATGAAGATTCCTGGCCAACAGCAACAGCTACAACAACAACAGAAAACAATCTGCATATATGGGAGAAATCTGAAAGAAGCAACCACCTCCACCTACCTGCCAACCTACCTACCTGGGAACCATCGTTCCAACTACAGGTGGGACGAGCTGATGGAGATATCACTTCGCTTCCCAAACGTATCACCGAACACTTACCAACATGGTTTTACAAAGGAGAAAAATGATGCCCCGTAGCTCCATCTTAGAACATCCGACAGAATCCGGACACCAAGCTACACTCCGAACAAACTTCAAAGTAGTCTACAGAGTAAGAAGAAGTCTTCCAGAAGGTGTACGAATCAGACTTCTTCAAACTGCAGAAGCAATGCGATTCGCTTGCTAAACCCTAAAATCTGCATACAGAAGGAGTTCGTTCAATCACTACACTTGCAATAGACGTAATCTATCCGACAAGTAAATTCTACCTAATCTTTTTTTCTGTCTCTTCGTTAGTATTATTTTGTCTTCTCAATTGTAACATTTTACATTTTCAACTTTATTGTTCTCAACCTCCACCCGATTTAATTTCTACACCTCACTACCACTGTTACTGACTTAACCAACGCTCAATTTCTAGTCATTTATGTTACGTCATCTAGCTTAATTGCTCACTTTCAGTTCTAATTTAAATGGTATTATTCTCTACCCCACTTCTACTTAGTCTCTACCTGTAATTACCTCTGTTGCTACTCTGACCTAAGTTGAAACATTTTAGTCGATTATATTACGTCATCTAACTTACTAACTCAACCTTACTTTATTTGCTGTCTGATTAATTTTGTTCCTATATTAGATCATTCTTGTATTACCTGATCAATTATCTAAACGTGGCAAACCTCATGTACTTACACACACACACACACATAATTATATATAAATGCGATTGTACAGCTGTGGTGAGAGCAGGCTGCCAGCCAATTGGTAAACATTAATCTACGTCAATTACTAGGTTACTAATATTGGCCTTGAGAAAATACGAACAAGGCTGATTCAACAACCAATCACAGCAGACTTAACGTGGGCAAATAAGATTTGCAAATATATGGTTTCACTTTCTGAGTAACCAGTCACAAGCAGTACAGAATAACCTTGAGCAAGAAGAAACCAATCAGAAGACTGTTTGTCTGCTTGAATAAGCTATAATAATAAATAAATAAATTAGAATAATAACAAATTGATTATACACAAGGAAACATTATTTTCACAATGACTACTACTTTTTTTCTTCCCCAGAATTGAACTATAAGTGCTCCATGAGACTAGAGGACCTAAGTCTTTTTATCAATAACAAAGTCTAAGTTCTACTATATAAACGATACACATTCAACTATTGAATGAATATTAGTCATTTACGTTTGTCAGTTGAGTGTTTCTTACACTTCTTTAAGAGCAAACAAATTTAACACTCCAAAAGAATGAAATAAGAGACTTACCTTCCCTATGAATCGTGAAAGAGATAGAAGCGAATTATTATCCATCCTCTCCTGTAATCTTCTATTCTTTCGTAATTTTACAGTAAAAGTTTATTTTTCATTTATTCAGATTATAATGAAAGTAGTGAAGCATTAAATATCCTTCACCTTATGTTTTTGGTGGAACGCATAATGATGTTTCACAGTATTTCCATTTTACTTGTAGGGTAAGAAGCATTTAAAACTAATGGTTTCAAAAGCATTTTAAATGAAACAGATACCAAACAACTTAGAAAGACCATTTTCCTTTGCCGTGTGCCTAAATAAAAGCATGCTAGGACTGTATATGGTATTAAAAAAATGCTTATATCTACATTTTGACGTGGTGGGCGTGGTGGCGTACGCCTGTAATCTAGCTACTTGGAGGCCAGGGTGCGGAATTTCGCAGGACCGGGAGTTCTGGCATACGGCTACTCATGTTGATCGGGCGTCCACGCTAAGCACGGCGAAGATATGGATGACCTGTTGGAGAACGGGTTGTCCAGGTCGACTAAGGAGGGGCACACCGGCCGAGGGAGGAAACCCAGCAGACAAAAGCCCACGCATGGTGCGGTAGTGGGATAGCGCCTGTGAATGGTGGCCATGTGACAGCCCGGTCCGCGCGTGGAGACCGCCTCCTCTTTAAGTGCGCCGGTGGCATAGCGGTTAGGACGCTCGCCGATCATGTACATGGCCCGGGGTTCGATCCCCGGCCACCGACGCACTCTTTTACCTCGCTAAGCCAGAAATAATGCTGATAAAGAGAGAAGGTTGGGCATGAGGCTAGCAACCCCATCTTGTAAAAGTAACTGCTACAGAAAATTCAAGGCACTAGCTCGAAGCCCTATGTCCCAGTAGGAACGTGAAGGAAAAAAACTTTTTGACAACGAATCAAAGTTTACATATAAATTCATGGAGGATGAAGGACAGCCCATATATTTCTTGGTCAAAAATGAACTGCAATGTAGTATAGTCATCAAAACATCCGCTTTCATTGTCTAGATTTTCTAAATTAAAATCTTAAAAGGCAGTTAATTAACTTGGACACAAAACGAATTTAAAAATGCCGATCATTCAAATAACAGTTGGTTTTTGAATGCTGATAAATATGTGATGGATAAGGAATAATGAACATTCCACTTGAATGGAAGGTATGATTAGAATGTATTACACTAGTGAACTGCATTCAGATGACAGAGGTAAGTGTCTTTGGTTATTAACCTTAAATATATGTTCATAAGAGTGGGGTGAGAACATGTGACATAGGCGATGGGCTGTGTGAAGATCGTCTCCCCACAATGATCTTGATACCCGCTGGGCTGTTCATACCGTTGCCCCTTGACTCAGTATCATTGTAACGGTAGAACAGTAAAGACTTGATAATTTTGTATCTCTACATAAAGAAATTATTTACATCTATTTCTTCGAAGCACCACTAGCATAGATCTTCCGTGTTGTGCTACTTCTGGCCTTCATATTGCGTTTTTCAGTATTCCTTTCACATCTCTCATATGTCACCGTATTGTTGTATCATTTGTTTCCTCAAACATCAAATCCATCTACCTGCTGTTTGCTTTTATTTTGACAAACATGTTTATGTATACATATATTACTGGTAAATCATACCAGTAGTACACGCCACATCATGAATATCAACACAACGCTTTTGTAAGTCAGTGGTTCAATGGTTGAATGCTCGTCAACCACGTATATGGTCCGGAGTTAAGTCCCCGACCTATGCACTCCCAAATCCAGCTTAGTTGATAGTGAGTCTGGTACAGAGGGAAGGTTAGTAGTGAGACTAGTATACCAATCCCATATTAAAAATCAATACCGCTGCTAATGAAACTTCAAAATTCAAGCATGAAGACTTATGTTTCAGGTGAGAAGCAAAATAGTTATATATGCATAATATATATGCCATTTGTAATCAACCTTTATTTAAGTCCTTTACATAGCATTATTCCAAGTCATATGAATTTTTCGTCTGTATTATACAGTTTGCCATATAATTCATTTCCATTCAAAATTATCTTACCCTTCTCTCTATTAAAAATTAAGAAACATGTTGAATTTGCCAAATGTCATTGCTAATCACCTGCTCTTGCTCTACTGATCATTCAGCAAAAGCTAATAGCTGCTTGACAGAGAAAAAAAATACAAAGTCTAACGGACTTATTAGATGAGGTCAAGAAGAGGTTAATGGTTAGCTCAAAAAAGCTCAGTGATAACATCTGTGACTGTAACACTGGGTGATGAGGGTTAGTATCTCAGAAGGGAGGTGAGTTCCTTCAAAGCTGCAGATACGCCTTGCTGACTGGTGAGTGCTAGCTAGCACGAAACACAGGCCTAGTCAAGGCTTCCTGCAGATTGCCCCCCAACCATCTAACATCATTAAATCAATGAGGTCTGTGGAGTTTATGCTCATAGGTCGGAATCACCTAATCTTTTCATGTAATTATGTTGCAGGTTTCAAACTGTTGGATAGACTTTCGTAGTAGCGTCTCGTGGTGCAGAATATATTCTATCACTTGGGCTCTGAAATTTTGATCACCAACACAAGAAACTCACGACTGTACAGTATTTGAAACAGTAATGAATGGCTGGATACAAACATCAGAAGGCTTTGGATCTAGGTTTTGTATCGATTCACTCTCATATTTTGAAACGAATGTCTTTCCTACATGATAAAATTCAACTACATCTCAGCGATTTATAGTTATGTACCACTCTTTTATGTGTTAACGAAATGCGAAAGTAAATTGTTATTACAAGCTTAGATTTGAGATGACACATGCTAAAAAACCGATGATTTACCTTTACATTCCTCTGTTCATCAAAAAAAAAAGAAATTATACCAAATTATCACTAATTGTGTACTGAAACATTTATTATTATTTTTTTTATTTTTGATTACAGCTTGATTCCACACCGTATTTTTCGTACAAGTATGGAATTTTCAGCATGGATATCGGTAGCCCAAATTTCGCAGGCCGACCATAGATATCAGGTGTGCGTCGGCGCGGGCTCGAACCTCAGACCATGTGCATGGTCGGCGAGAGTCCTAACCACTGTGCCACCGACGCACACAAAGTGGATATGAATGCAAGAAAAAACTACACTTCATCCTTAGACTAGGAGGAGGGATTTTCACCTTCAAAGAAAACATGCAAATTTCACATCACACAACTTTACAGTTGCATGAAAGAAGCAACTCAATAAGCGAAAAATATTCCTTTTAGTTAGATCTGATCAAGTTTTTTTTACTCTTATATACATAACTTTACAAACAAATATTAAAATATATAAACCAATCACAGGGATTTGTCAATAAGACGATAATATGACCGTATATAAATTGTGCAATTAGTCGTATTAGTAGTAATATTAATCCTGTTAATAGCGAAGATGAAAAAAGTGGAGCAGTTTGTGATAACCGAATAAGTAATGTTAGACTGTTAGGGAAGCAAATGAAACAGGTTTATAATGAAGATGTGATAAGATTAAGGGATGATAAGAGACGGGTTGAAAATATACGTAAGGGGTAGTGTAGAAATCATCAGTTGGTTGTGTTTGAATAGGCCAAGAGAGAGATAATGTCTATGAGTACGAACTTCTTTTGAATGTATAGTTTAGGGGCTTAATAGTTCAAACGCCTATCTCTATAGTTGTGCGCAGCAGACGAATATGAAGTTTATTAGAAAGATTCGGTGACAAGCGATGAATAAACTGGAATGCTTTCGTTTTCTACACTACATGACCACTATCAATTAAATGCGACGAAACGAAGCTACGGATGATTTTTGTCTCTCCTTTGCCAAACCACAATGGATGATGTTCACTAACACGTTGGTTGGCTAAGCTGTCTGGTAGTACACCCAACATTATTGTCACGACAGGTGAGGTCGAATTGACAAATCCACATTGATATGGCAAAACTGTCTAGCTTATCCTTCGTTTGCGGCCCAATCATTCGTCGACTAAAGAAATTCAATTGTAAGCTCTCTATGTAAAATGACTTGTGTATGCTTCCACCTAGTCTCTGGAACAAATCTAGAAAAAGTGCCATTAGATTGTAACCTAATAAATAACGGTCTCCTCTGTACTGTCATTGTTTCAAGCTTTCTATCTGGTGATTTCATATGTTTCAATAGGAGACTACATGGACAAAAAATAATTAAATATTCCAACAGTAAAACTTATAAAAATGTTTAATTAGACAAAACAATAGACAAAGTGAAGAAATATGCATTTCTTTTTAATTAACTCCTTATCACTAGCTGATTCTATACTAATCCACAGTTTCTCACATCAATATTCTGCCACTCAAGTGGTTCTTTTAGATAATCACTTATATATATATATAGGGGAGGTTGAAATAGAGAGGATGAAAGTCATTAAAACAATTCACCAGTAGATGCTACTAACAAGACATTCTAGTTTTCAAGAAGTGGTGAAGACTGACTAATTACGGAATTGAAGAAAAGTTGATTCTCAGGTATTGGTTTTTATAGGGATTTTGTTTGATTAGCTGGAAGGTTTCATCACGAAATCCATACAAAAACTGATCCTTGAAAATTGATCTGATGCTCACTTGCGAGTAGCCTTATTCAGGCAGTGACCTGGGGTTCTAGTGAGAAGCTGTGACCAGTATGGCGCAGCAAGTTGAAAATTAGGCAGTAACTCATCAAAGAGGACATTGCAAAGCGGTCGCGCTATGTTGTGAATTGACAGAAGTTAGAATCCATGAACTGGCCGTCGGATAGGGGGTCCCGTGGCTTAAATTTCTATGAGCTAGCTTGCCTTGTAACCAGAATGTCCTGGGTTCGAGCCTTGCGGTGCGCGTCTACTGTTGAAGAGTCCTAAACTAGTCTGACAAAACAGCCGTCAAGCACTCCCAGGTTTTCCAGTGTTGTCAGCTCTTGATGAAATCCTCCAACTAATACGGAATTTATTCATTAAGCAACTGCTTTGTTATTGTATGCACACATTTACTTTGTTTAAACTTGAACTGCCTGTACAAAAGT